GTGCCCATGTAGACAATGACTGAACGCCACGTGTCATTAAAGGGTCCACGTGAAAATTAAAAATTCAAAAAAATAATTATTTAAAGAAAAGTATTTAAAAAATAATAATAATAAAAAAGCAAAACCAAAACCCAGATCGTCTTCCCCAAATCCCTCGTGCCCACCCTCACACCCTCATCACTCGCAACCATTTCGCTCCCCACCCTCCTTCCCTCACTCTTCCCTTGTCAAAATCTCAAGCACCTTGACCTCTCCCAGAACCTTCTCACCAACGCCCTCCCTGCCACCCTCCCTGACCTCAAATACCTCAACCTCACAGTAAACAATTTCTCCGGACCAATTCCTTACTCCTTCGGTCGCTTCCAGAAACTCGAGGTCCTCTCTCTCGTCTACAATCTCATTGAAAGCACCATCCCCCAGTTTCTCGACAACATTTCCACCCTAAAAATGCTCAACCTTTCCTACAACCCTTTTCACCTTGGTCAGATCCCGACGGAGCTCGGCAATTTGACGAACCTTGAGGTGCTCTGGCTCACCGAGTGAAACTTAGTTGGAGAGATTCCCGACTCGCTGGGTCATCTCAAAAACTTCAAGGATTTGGACCTCTCTATCAATGGCTTCGAGGGGACGGCGGGATAGGAGAAGGAGGGCGACGGCGAGATTTTTAGGAAGGATGATAGGGGACGGGAAGTGGTTGCGGGTGATGAGGGTGAGAGGGTGGGCACGGGGGGATTTGGGGAAAACGATCTAGGTTTTGCTTTTGCTTTTTTTTTTTTAACTTTTCTTTATATATTTTTTTTTTAATTTTTAATTTCCACATGGATCCCTTAATGACACGTGGCGTCCAATCATTGTCCACATAGACGCTACATCATTAGTTAACGGCAGAGTTAATAGTTTGACTAACGGATGTATGAAACTGTCCTAAAATTAAAACTTTAGGTATGACTCTGGAATGAAAAAAAACTTCATGTACCAAATATTGAAAACCATGAAACTTGAGGGTAGAAAACTGATATTTACCCAAAATATAGATGCAATGAATGCATATCTCAATACAGTAAAATTGACATGATTCATATCTACTCTAAGAATGCAAATATTATACATTTTTTTCCGAATAATGGATCTTCACAGTATAATGCAGGCTAAAATCAAGGCATAATCCACATTATGCCATGTTGACACGATGTGACAGAAGAAATGAACTCGGGCTAAAATCAAATTACATGTTCCATGAGGACGTGTTTGGTACGCGGGACGGGACGGTGCAGGGTGGAACGAGGCGTTCCGTCCCGCGTTTGGTACGCCTAAAATGAGTGGGACGAGGCGTTCCTAGGGACAAGTTTTGGATGATTTTTGGTTCCACCTCCCCTCCCTCCCTGGAACGGGTTGTTCCACGTCCGTGGGACAGAAAATTTTAACATTTGAGGACAAAAATGCCCCTTATCTTTTTCAAAATTTACAGCATCAAAATCATATAACAAACCCTAAAAACTATATCTCTTCTTCTCAGCCGCTGACCCTCTTCACCCCATCTCTCCCCTTCTCAACCTTCCTCCTCATCTTCTTCTCAGCCACTGACTTTCTTGCACTGGGTTCCTCGTTGGCAGTCTCCGCTGATGCGATAATCAATGGAGAAACGTCTGCACCTTTGAAGAGAGAGAGAGAGAGAGCAATTGAAGGCAAATTCTTGTCAGAGAAAAACCCATTTCTCTGCAGTCCACCAAAAGCACTTCTCCGTTGAAGCTTCACCTTTCTGCTGATTTTCAGCTTTCCGTTACTGTTTCTTCCGAGGTAAAGACTTCGTCTTTCTAAATCCACTGTATTTCATTGGCTTTTTTTCTTGGTGAGAATTGGAAATTTTGAGTTGGGTTGATTTCTATCACTGCATGCTTGGATTGTTTCGATTGTAGAGTAAATTTTCAACATTAAAATCCTGGGTTTTGTTGTTTTTTTGGAGTTCTTGATTGATTCTGGTCTTAAGTTTCATACAACACCTCAGTGAAGTTTGCTTGCCGTTGTTTTTTTTTCATTATTGGGATTTGCATTCCAGGTTTTTTTGCAATATTGGGAATTTGCTTTGCAATTTTTATTGTCAATTTTGCTTTGTTCATTTTCAAAATAATTTGGAATTTTTGAACAAAATTTTTGCCAAAGGCAAAGGGAATGAAATTGTGTAGAATTTGCCCACAAACATTGCAAAAATACTTGTTAGTTTTGCTTTGCGGTTTATTCTTTTGATTTAATTTACTTGAATTTCTTAAGTTAATATCTTTTCTGAGGTTGTTTTATACAAGATTTCCTCCTTCCGTTTGCTTGAGAATTTTCCCATCCTTTACGTTTGCTTTTTCCATGACCATGACGAGTTGTCCTAGTAATCTTAAAGGATTAAATTGTCTGTTTCTTTCTTCGAATCTGTTTAATTTAGTCGTTCAAATGTGTTCAAATGTTTCCTATTCTTTTCTTCCCTGTTTGAACTTCTTGAAATTTTTCTTAATTTTTGGTTCTTCTTAACTATTTTCTTGTTTCGTATATGTTCAAGCAAAATCTCACTTCTTTATTGTTTCTCATTCTTTCTGCAGCACTCTTAAAGCGTCAAAGGGCTAATGTGAAGGTCTGTTGAAAGCTGATCCTGTAAAAAGAACCTCAACCATACATTGATTGCACAGGAAACTTGCAGGTATATCTGTATTTATTGCACTTTTGTTGTTGTTTCTCATATTTTTCTGGTTTCCTTTTTTGGTAACCATTCTTATGTAGCAGTGGTTGTTTGTTTGTTAGTTCAACTCTTTCTGGAAATTTCTTTTTGAAGAAACCTCTTTTTTTAACACACAAAGTTCTGTACTTTTTTTGTCTTTTCTTTTCAAAAATTGTTAAAAAGGAAGACATAAAAGTTGTCTATGTATAGTATAAAGAAGAAGGCATTCATAATCAATAAATTGTATGGAACCACTTAACTTGGTTAGAAAGTCCCAATATTTAGTTTTGAATTCTAACCATAAACTAGGGGTTGAACCAGAACCATCTCTGACTCATCACAAATGAGGTCTCAGAGAAACATGAACATTCATTTGGAAATTCTATGTTTTGCTTTTGTTGTAGTTCCATATTATTGTTGCTATATTTATTCATTATTTAGAAATGCTTTTTAGGTTTTGAGAAGTGAGCTAGATATGTGAATATAAACCTCATGTCAACTTTGTTGTTATGCAATCAGTATCTTATTTGTTCTCTGTGTAAGATCTTATTTGTTCTCAGAAACTTAAAGGTTTGTTATCTATAACAGGCTTATCAAGAGTCAACCAAAGAAAAACGGCGTGCTCAAATTGCTCAAGGTTTCACTCCATCATTAAACTTATATATGCATTGCTGTTAGATGGATCAACGTTTGAAGAGATTGCTAGGGCAAAGTTCCCCTATGGTCTTCCATATGGACTACATGGATACTGGGTTCCCTCCAAATAATCATAGAAATGATGAACTAGCCAGTAACAATGTGACAAAATATAAGTTCATATTTCTTTTCGTTTTATGTGAGCGTTGCGAGTTATAAACTATATATATATATATATATTTTTCTTTTTCTTTTTGTTAAACATGTACTATACATATTTGTCCCATAATTTGAAAGCTCAATCAATATTTTTTTTTTTTAACTGATAACTTATTTGATAATTATATTTTGTTTTAAAAAACAATAAAAGGGTTAACTACAAGAAACTACCCAAAATTACAAATTTTAAAGGGGTTTGCATGTGGAACACAATATATACCTATTAAAATTTGGACCAAGAAAAACAAAATGGATAAGTGTTCAAGAAAAACAAATTGGATAATAGTGTTCACAACTTTGAAGAAATAAAAAAAATAATAAAAAGCCTTGTGGTTCTGTTTTGTCCATGCGCTACCAAACGCAGAACGAAACATGGGTATTTTAGTCATTTTAATCTTTTGGTTCCGTTCCGTCCATGTGCTACCAAATGCAGAACGGAACAACCGTCCTGTTCCATCCTGCGCGCGTACCAATCGCAGAACCAAACGCTACCAGAGGGCCACAAAGAAAGCAATGGATGAAATTAGGTGGGCCCAACTTTTGAGGTAGAGGGTTCAAGAAACGCATCTCTCACACTCGGTCTATCATCACAGTCGTAGAGCAGAACACAAAGCCAGCAAGTGCGGCCTCCATCGACTCCTTCTCCGACGGGGGTCTCTTTCGTCTCCGGTAATTTCTGCAACAATTAATTAAAATCTTTACGTACTAATCCTAATCAGTTTCTATGGTGATGATATGCACACACGCAGATCAGGATGTATGTAATTGGACCTTGCTTCCGAGAATTAATCAAAGATTTGATCTAAAATCTTAATCAGTTTACTGTTTGTGATTTTTTCTTCTTAAAAATCTTAATTAAAAAGTTTTCATAATTTGTTGTTTATCGTTAGAGGGAGAGCGCGAGTAGTGTCGCAGCAGCAGCAAATGAAAATGGGACAAGATATGTTGGTGAAAATCCTACTAACTCTGCCTCCCAAAACTCTGATGCGATTCAAATGTGTCTCTAAATGGTGGTCTGCTCTCATCAACAATCCGGGTTTCGTGTCAAAGCACCTCTCCAACTCCGCGAACAACAATCTCACCACTCTCCACGTCTTTTTGGCGCAATTAGTAGTGCAGCGCAGCAGCATGAGGAGGAGGAGGAGGAGCCCAAGTGTAACAGCACCACTAAGAAGGAGAAGACTGAAGAAGTATTATCATTTCTTGAGTTTTGCAAAGACGATGATAATACTGATGACGAGCATAGCAATAGCTGCTCTCTTGTTGGTGTCCAGGACATCATTATTCCTCAATTTTGATTCAAAATATCGGAGTGCCGGAACAACAATTTGTTATCCAAGGCCACTGCAATGGCATCGTTTTACTATCTAGTGAGAGTAGCCTAGTTTTATGCAATCCCGGAATTGGAGAATTCAATCGTATTCCCGATGAGCCATGCCTTCCAATGTGGCCCTTAGACCAGCCGGATGATTACGATGGGCAAGAACATATGGAAACTGGTTTTCATACTGGATTTGGCTATGACCCCATGTCTAATGAGTACAAAGTTGTGACCTTTACTACTTATTTTCAAGAGGTACATGAAGACTGCCGGGACTTTTCTTAGTCGGCACAGAGCAGTAGTATACACCATGGGTTGTGATTTTTGGGAAGAGATCAACACAGATTCTTTAGAAACCGAAACTACTTTGTTTTGGCCTGAGTATTTCCAGATGTCCTTCAAGGGAATGTGTTATTGGCTGGGAATTGAGCAAGATAAGGAATTATTTCCATTTGACGTAGTTGGGCATCGATTCCATGCGAATGGGAGATTGATCATTTCCTTCGATACAAGTCGTGAGGTATTTCACGGTATACCCTTACCATCTGAGCTCCAACAGTTTGTCCGGTCGAATCACCTCTATTTGAAGCTTACTGTTTGGAATGAATCAGTTGCTTTTTTTGCCATTAGTGTGGACGATCGTCGATATCCTGAACCTTATGAAATGTGGGTGATGGATGATGACTTTAAGGGTGCTTGGACAAAATACTTGACTATTGAGGGCACAGATGATCAGATACGTAGGTCTAGAACTGTGGAATTGTGGGGGGGATGAGTGTCTTATGGTTGACAGTGATGGACACGTAGTTTTCTTTAATCTTTGTACCAAAAAAGCTTAAGCATATTCCCATTGAAACAGAAGATGATGAGAATATTTTTGTTTATGTGAATAGCATAGTTTCAGTCATGGGACGCAGCCACAAGCTTAAGAGCATAGAGAATACTTGCTCAGATAAAGATGAAGATGCGATGGTGATGGTAGTCGGGAAGAGGGAAAGCTGCCAGAGGTTGTACTCATATTTCGGTTTGGGCCATTCCACCGGCTGATGTTTCCCATAGAATCAAGAAGGTGATGGAGGGCCTCCAGGCAGAGTTTGGTGGGCCAGAGATCGAACCTCACATCCCCATCTTGGGATCCATCCAGATGATGAGTCGTGAGGATGCCCTTAACAAGTTTAGATTTGCTCCTAATGACATCGTTGCTAAAGTTGATCGGGTGGTTACTAAGAATTACTATCACCAGTGTGTTTCATTATTGATGGATCGAGAGGTATATATTTTCTTGATGTTTTGTTTAGTTCTGTTTTGTTTCCTTTTCATCTTTCTCATTTTGGTTTGAGCTTGAATAGACTCACTTATCATTACACCTTCTTTTCTTAGTTATTTGAAAATGCCCAAAGTTGGAGCTACCATTTCGGTTTCTACAACAGTAAGTTGCTATTTACAGTAACTTAATTTCTTAAAGTGTTGACGGGAATGTATGTATGTAATCTGCGTGTCTGCAATATTTGATGCAGGTTCTATGCCATATTTGAGTCTCCTCTACGGGTAGTTGACGGAAGAAGAAAGGAAAAAAGCTGGGGAAATTGTTAATATTCTCGACGAGAGCATTACTAGCTGGACCTTCCCCATAACTCACTTTGCATTGTATGAAATAGACTACGATGACAGATCTTTGAAATCTTGGACCAAGATTGCTGAAATCGGTTGTTAGACAAGCTCTCCGGTTGCATATATATATGCATAGCACTCGGCACATTACAAAAAATATGGGTACTGCACACAATAAATTATTGGGAGTTTTAACGAACGAAAAGTCTACGGTTCTGTTCATTTTAACGAAAAAATCACATTTTTACACAAAAAAAGTCAAATCTGCTACTATTCACTTTACCCTTTATTTTGTCCTTCTCATTAAAACTCAAAGTTTTCAAGCCATTTTCATTAGTTTTCCTTAAACTATTTGTGCCCTTTGAGACCAAAGAGCACCAACATATGTGCTCGTAGACAAATAGCAACAGTGCAGCAACGATAATTCTATGTGTGCCCTTTATGAGTGTGTCCTTTGGTCAAAGGGCACAATATAGTTGTTTGTGTTATTAAGGCAACGCACTATAGAGCCTAATTTGTGCCTTCATTCAGATAGGTCTGACAACCCTTCTCAACTGATTGGGCACTTCTGTATAATCGTGCCCTATACCAAAATTTTTTAAAAAGAATTGAAATTTTTTTTTTCACATGAATTATATCGGATTCTTGCCCACTCACATACTAATTATATCGATCTATAATTAATAAACCTTAAACTGCATTAGTTGAGAAGAAAATTGAAAAGAAGAAGGAAAAAAAAAAAACTTAACTCAAATTCACGAATTGGGTGAGGTATTAAGATTAGAAACAAGATCTGAAGAGAAAATAGAATGAGTTTAACTAGGTAATATATATTAAGTGAATGAAGTTGTCTAACATTTTACAAGATAACAGCATCTAAAATCTACCAAAATTGAGGTCCTCCTATCTCAACCTCCACATGAATATCATCCAGTATTGGCGCCAATATATTTCTCTGGACAACCTCCACTGCCACTTTTTCTGCTATCATTATACACATAATACAAGAGGGTGGAGTGTGAGTGAGAGAGAGAGAGAGAGAGAGAGAGATTCGGTGAGAAATGAAGAGTGAAGTGATGGTGGGTAAATAAGAGAGTAGAGTGGTAAGTGATTACCCAAACATTACTATAAACCAACAATGCCTGATGACCAAGTAAAAATATAATAACTACCAAGACCATAACGCAGTGGGGTGCACATAAGGGATATCGTACGCATGCAAAATATCCCATCCAAACAACAACCGGTCATCACCACATGCAATATGTGTGACACATTCGGAGAAACCGAAAACGACATTCAAAGTCCGCGAGTCTGACTCATAGGGTCTGATAAAAGGATTTACAAAGTGTTTCCGACCTACATGCAGCCAACCAAGTTCCTAATGATCTTTCGTTTAAGAATCACTAGGGATGGACACACACTTCGGACTGAGAATGATACGTTGCACTATTGAAATTCTCTGACTTGGAGTGGGGACAAGGTGAAAGAACAAACGAAATCAACAAACAAAGACAACTCAAACATGTCAGACTAACATTTAAATCTAAAGGTCTTTCCGGGTATGATTCGACACTTCCTCAACCTTAATCTGGTCAATGCATTACCGTGAGTCTAGGGCTAAAGGTTTTCCATTAGCTTAATATTTAATACCTAGTATCGAAGTAAGGTGGTATTCCGGATATCGCGGTGGAAATCTTTACAAATACTAAATTTGGAGGTGATGTTTTTTTCCAAAACAACGTCACCGAAGATGGCTTTTGAACTCTACCCCGGGCCCATAAGCTTACCTATGTTTTTCCTCAACACTCCTTACTTCGAAAAGATTGACAGATTAAACTCTATTAATCTATTAGGAAGCAAACAGTATTCATCATCATCACAATTTTTTTGCACGACGTTCGAGATTGCACCACTGAGTCGGAAATGTCTCTGCTACATTGTACGAAATTGGATCATATACAAAGATAGAAGACCAAACAGTACGTATTCTAAAGTTGGAGAAAGGATGATCGGAATAACGTTACCTCAAAAATATGGTCATGACTCAACAACTCTGTGAAGAGTTTGACCTGACAGAGTAGCGATGCCACCATCACCTTGTTCCGGGACAATAGGTGAAATTCGAGTGACTCCGCTGATATGGCCATACTTGTTCCAAAAGACATGAAATCTAACCCGAGCGACTCCAATTGTTGTCCGCAATGTTTCATCGTCACTTTTTCCTTTACTAGTTTTGAAAAAAAATGGAGTTTTTAGATTTTATGACTTAAATAAGATATTTTTATATTTTAACATGAATCGTTTTCTAAATCTAATTCAAGTATTTATTATTAAAACTTACCATATTTAAGTATTATAACATTTATAAACCTATTCTTAAGTCATGTATATTTTTATGCTCCAATCATACAAATAGATAAAAATTTATCCAAAATTTAAATTCTTATAATTAAAAAAAAATCAACAACAATACATAAAAAATTTATATGAAAAAAACTCATAGGTACAGAGTATTGTTACAAATGTATAGGTACATAAAATTGTGGTACGAATACATTAGTACATAAGTTTTAGTACAAATGTCTCACCTACGTAACTATAGTACACACATAAGTACGTAATATGCATATATATATATATGGAGAAATTCATGTATAATGAAGAAATTGAACTTATCACAAACTCAACTATCGTTTACGTGCGCTACAAGCAAACTTGGAACTAGGCCTGGCAATTCCTGACACGACACGACACGAAATTAACAGGTGTTCGGATCAACACGATAACGAATCATGTCGTTATTGGGTAACCCGATAAGCACCTGTTAAGATAACGAGTTGGTTCGGGTATACACGTGGGTAACACGATACACGATAAGTAAAATATGAATTTTATAATTTTATAACCCTAAAAAAAATACTATAATAATTATATATATTAATTTAACAATTTTATACCCCTAAAAACTATAATAATTATATATATGTATATTAAATTTTAAAATTGGTGACCATTGGATCGGCTTAAATATACATATCATTCAATTTCTTAAGTGTTATACGTACAAAATAAACATTCAAAAATCAAGTAACGGGACAAAACTTTTCAACGGTTATAAACGAAAAATCACGATTTAACGATTATTTTAACTCCGATTTGGATGATTTTTTACAGCTACACTCCTTGACCCTATATGATTACAATGAATGAATTCGATCTTATGTTATACTTAATGAAAGTATAAATAAACTCTAAGTGTTAGTGAATCTATCGTTTTGATGGGATATGCATTCTACAAAACTAATTTCAACGATCCAACCGTCGAACTTGTTTGTATATGCTTCGAGATCGCATACGCCAAAAATTGAAAAAAACAAACATTTAGAGATCAAGTAACGGGACAAAACTTTTCGATGGTTATCAAAGAAAAATCACAATTTAACGGTTATTTTAACTTCGATTTTGATGATTTTTTACAGCTACACTCCTTGACCCTATATGAATACAATGAATGAACTCGATCTTCAATTTAAAATATTTACACAAGTGGATACTACAAAATTTTATGTTATACTTAATGAAAATATGAATAAACTCTTAAGTGTTAGTGAATCTATTGTTTTGATGGGATACGCATTCTACGAAACTAGTTTCAACGATCCAACCATCAAACATGTTTGTATATACTTCGAGATCACATACGCCAAAAATTGCAAAAAAACAAACATTCAGAGATCAAGTAATGGGACAAAAAAATTTTACGGTTATAAACTAAAAATCATTTAACGGTTATTTTAACTCCGATTTTGATGATTTTTTAAAAGCTACACTCCTTAATCCTATATGAATACAATGAACTAATTTGATTATTGTCAATTTAAAATATTTACACAAGTGGATGCCACAAAATCTTATGTCATGATGATCGATGAAAATTGAGGATTTTGTAAAAGGAATAACATGCAAGTTTTGAGTTCCATTAGTAAGGTTTAAAACTTTTGAGAAATGCTTCATAACCTTGAAAACAAAAACTCTTTCTTTTTGCATATCCTTGCACATTTAATATTTTGTAATAGACTAGTAGTG